AATCGTTACAAAAATAAGTGGAGCAATAGTAAATTGTGTATGCGAAATATAATATAAATTAAATTATAAAATATAATCTTCGAGAATTAAAAAAAATATTTCATGGAATATACACACATATGTGCAAATATCAATAAAACAAACTAGAGGAAAAATAGTAAAAAACAAAACAAAGCACTGTATTCTCTAAATAGTGCTCCAGTGGCGACTGGTGGACTAAGAGGCCCCCTCAACAATGCAGAGAGATAATATGCAAATCATGTAATGCTCCCCATTTGTCTATATAACAGACAACACTTAAGCACTAGCTCGCATAATCACACGCTCTGCTAACTGCGCAGTTGACGCATTGACTGCGTATGCATCAAAAACTTTTAGAATGACAATAACAATCAAATTAGTCTCTTTGCTAAGGCACAAGTCTCCATTTAAAAATCGAATTGAAATTATATGCAAAATTTCAAACGTATCGCCCTGGTCTCTTATTGGGTCTACCACGCCTCCATTTTCAATGAATTCAGGGTTTAAATAAAGACACACATACAAGCGCTCATACACCCGCATATGTTCCTAGTAAGAACTTCTTACATACATCTCATATAGACGTTACTCAGAGTACGCATATCGAAAGCGTGATGAAAGCTGCTACCTATATCTATTATACTATATATTTACCATATAAACTTTATATCTATATATATATAACTACTATATATGCATATCAATACGATATTCGTACTCCATGCTATCTGATGCCCGATCTCTTCTAACTCTCTCTCTCTCTCTCACTGTCTATCTCTCTGCATCCTTACCTCTCCGTTTAATATCTCTTTCGGCTGGTTCGAATCGTTCAGCTTTTCATGCACAAGAGCGCGATGCAGCAAATCCAACAACAGATACCACGAGTCGGACTGAGTGCCCATGGTGTTGGCACCACTGCCAGCATTGGGGGCAGCACGACACCCGGTGGATCGGAGACAAAGCCACATCAATGCCATCAGTGTATGAAGAGCTTCTCCAGCAACCATCAACTGGTCCAGCATATACGCGTCCACACCGGAGAGAAGCCCTACAAATGCTCCTACTGTGATCGTAGATTTAAGCAGCTATCCCATGTCCAGCAACATACGCGACTGCATACCGGTAAGTCCTTACATATCTATTATATAAAATTGTCATCGGGAATTTACTGTATATATACGGGCGAAGGGAGTAGGGAAGGACAAATTAAGATACATGTATCCAAAATCAAATCAAATCTCTACTGCCTCAATACCTCCGTTTATGTCTTAACATTTGTAGTTCAGGACTTGCACTGTGAAGTGAACAAATCTATGTGGCGTAAAACTAATTTGCTCTCCTCACTTCGTGAGCGAGTCAGTGGCGAGACTGAAGCCCAACTACTGCGCCATCTTCTAGACGATTCCCATCCAATTTACCGTTTTTTCTAATTACAAATTTCTTCTGGTAAAAGCCTGATTTCATATTATTTGCTTATTACTTATTATTTTTTCTCGTCTCATAATTACAAGGCTGTTGAAAATGTTTCCTACTTGGGACAAATTAAAACGGTCGTAACTTTGCTTCGCACTCATTTTCGCTCACCGCCTCGCTCTCCTGCGCCAGTTGCAATGTGGATCAAATTGATTTTTTTATCACAGAAAGCTGCGAATCGAGTTGCTCTGAAAGACTCGAGATTCGAGCTGAGTATTTTGAATTTATAGTAATTAAATAACTAGTGCATTAGTGCAGGGTACTCTGAGGTCGGTCACTCTTCCATTTAAATTGGACTAACTTGCACATCAATGTCAGCTGTTTTGCCTCACTGTGCAGCAAAACCTTTGGGGGCTCTTCCCTTTCGAATGTCGAGCTTGTCGGATGGCCAATGTAAATCGGCCATCTCTCTCACACCCATGCCAATCGCTCGTGCGCCACACCTTCTGCTTCGCTTTGCATTGCATCTGCAGCAATCGTTGTGTCCGGACTCAGCAAATATTTATATTACGCACGCAGCTAGCAGTTAAGAAACGGCTGACGACCGGGGAGTGAAGCGGCGAAAAGACGAAAACGGCGAATCGGCAAAACGATGAAATGGCGAAATGACAAAATGAAAAAATTACAATGATAATTAAATAAACTTTGAGTGCTTTTTGTCGCGACTTTTTCTAGCGGCGCCAGCTGCGAACTGCAACTGAGTAAAAATACCTATGGGAATAGTACAGTAATATATTTTACTCAGGATCGGGATGGGTTTAGGGACGACGGCATGGTTGACGAAAATTATTCAACGTCATTAGCCACATTGAAAGAATTTTTTATTTATTTTGTGTCAAAGAATCTCTATTCCTTTTGAACCAAAGGAAGTTTTCTTCACACCTGATTGCAGGATTACAATGAAATATATTTTATTATTATTTTGCCTTTTTTTCTTCACTCTATACACCCATTCATGAAGTGAAAGAGCATATTGATTGTGTACACTTTTTATATTTCTTTCCGTCCATTGTGGGAAATCCGGAAAATACTAAATATGCTATACCAAAAACTCTATTACTTACAGTGAATTATTTAAAACCACAAAAAACTTTAAGAAGTATATACAGTAGAATCCGGTTATAACGACTCCGCATATAGCGTCTGTACGGTTAGAGCGACGAAAATTCTGGTCCCCAGACAAACTTTTATGAGCAAACTTATACAGCTATAGCGCCTTCCGGGTATAGCGACGGTCCGTTGAGTGTCGTTATAACCGGATCCTAATGTATAATATATATGTACATATATACATATATAAAAATAGTCATTTAAGTTAAGTGGGGTAGTTAATTAAGTACAGACTTTTTGTCCACAGTGAATAAGTATTATGCAGCCGGTAGTGCCTGTCTACTGGTTATTCATAGTTTCTTGTTTTTTTTTTTTTCTTTTTACCACTTATTTTGCTCATTCCGTAATGCAGAAAACAGAAATCAAATACGCTTTAATTAAAAACCAGTTTGCACCCTGCTATATCCCAACCAAATTCAAAACCGAAGCTGCCCGACGACCTTCAGCTGAGTGTGTAGCGATTATGTAGCGGTTGTTGTTCCAGGTTTGGTCTGGTTAGGTCAGGTTGGGTTGCACCGTAAGAATAAGGAAATTTCTTCGTATTCATGAGTATACTGTATGCCAGAGACAAAGTACTCCATATAAGGTACAATGTAAGCCATCGCGCTTAAAATGACAAAATTAAATCCAGACCGTGTTCCACGATGCCAGTATAATGTACAGAGCCACATCTGTTTAGGAGGCCGTGATTTATGAATTAAATTATGACAATGGCTCGAATTAGCTTATTTTCTACCTGTGTGTGTGCTCTTCCTTGATAATCAAACATTGCATTGCCTTAAAAAAGTCTAAACGCTAACGGCTTACGGCTAACGACAAACAGGCCAAAGACGGGCATCTGCATCGACATCAGCGCCGCGGCATCAGCGTCCGCGGCATCATCAACAACTCAACTCAAAAGATAATGGAGAGGCCATTAGTCGACCACATCCACCCCTACCCCGACGCGCGACACGCGACGCCCGGCACCCGATCAACCCGTTATAGTACAGAAGCAAACGCCGCTGGGGCGCGCTAGTCACGGAATTCCTCTGGGCGAACACGTATTCTGAGGCGTTGCATACTTTAAGGCACTTTAAGTACGCTTGACCGAGTAGAGAGTGCGACATTGTGCTGCTAGGTGTGAAGCTCTGACGAGGAGGAGTTCGAGCAGAAAGAGAAGGTAGATCTGGGATGCTCTAAGGAATTTCACTGGCAACCGCAATTCTCGTCTGCCCCGACTGCACTTTGTTGCTATTTATTTGCATTTAGTAGTAGGTGTCGCTAGCCAGGCAAAGTGACTAAGTAGCTTAAACGGTTTACTCCTTTTCCTTTTGGTCCTTTGGCACCTTTCGGACCGCTCTCCTCCGTCACTGACCTTCCATGTTTTCATTTAATTGCGCGTTCAAATGAAATTAATTTTCGAGCAAATCTGAAACACGTAATTGCCGTGAAGCTGCAACTTTTTAAGGCAGAGAACAACTACAACTGCAATTGCGACGACCCTAAATAATTCCTGAATAATTCACTCGGCGGGCAAGCTTGCTCGAAGTTCGACATAATTTCTGAGCGCTGACTTTTTAATCTCGTTAAAATAAAGTCAATCACTCAATTACCATTCCGAGTCGCGACTATCAGGACCTCTCCCAGACATTCAAGTGTCGTCGGTAAACGTTTTCTTTCGCGCAGTTGACATTAAGTACATATTATTTTGGACCTCGCCTTCCATCTGTGTGGCTTGACCATAAGGCCTTAAGAAAACCAAAACTTTTTCCGCTGCAATGGATTTGAATCAAAGCGCTGCTAAATCAATCGACGAGAAGTGCTACAGCTTAGTGTCAATCATATAGTATGCCCATTGGGGGCGTGGCAAAACTTTTGATAGTTAAACGACTGCAAAATTATATTATATTAT